AATTATATACGGTGTGAATGATTATTTATTACTATTTATTATGAAAATAAAACTATAGAGGAGTGGAGTGGTTCAGAAAGCCCATATTGGCTGGTCAGTGCCTTCTGTCCCTATAGACAAATTGACACAAAAAACCTATATTTTTAAGTGAAGATATATGGCTTGGTGATTATGGAATCAAAGCATTAAATGAATCTGAATGCCTTTAAATGTTGGCAAAACTAATGGATGAGAGAGAAACTGATGACTGTATCCATCTACATTATAGAGACTTAACTTTAAAGGCTACCATGCAATGAGTGAAATATCAGATGAGTGACCAGTATCTATTGGTATTAATGGCAATTGTGCATGAATAAAGTTTTTGAACTATGGAAATTTAATTTATCAAGAAATTATTGGCATTTTGTCATTGCTGATAATTTATGGAGAACTGTATTTTGTTCTTATTGCTTTGCAGCAAACTCTGAATCAATGAGACCACTTTTCTCTCATATCTCTGAAGACGACCAGCAGGGTTTTGAGTCACTGGGGGCAGTTAAAGGACCTATGGATTTAGCTTAACTGCAGCTCTATGGCATGGTAAGCAGGCAAACAGGAGTTGCCCATGTGGGAACTTTGTGTTTGTATGTTTTGATGAGAAGGTGAATGAGCACAGGGGGTAGAGACAGACCTTCCAAAGCATTTAGGTTCTGAGAAACTGAACTCACAAGGGCCTGGTGAAGGATCCCTATCCCCACTTTTGGCACACAGTGATGGACTGTCCCATTAAAACAGACCTTAACAATGGGAATTTCTGTGGCGACTATGACTGAACAGAGATTAGAAACCTTTCTGCAGATGTTACATAAGCACGGGGGCCCTTGGGAAGCTTTGGGGAGTGGGTGGAGGCTCTTCAACCCAAGAGATAATTTCTGGCCACCTATTTAAGTAAGGGTACCAAGTCACCTTACTTTGATTTAGAAAAAAAAAATTAGAAAAATTAGTTAATGTGACTTTTAAATTTTTGTATCAGAGTCACATAATAAAATTCATACCAGCTCCCTAGGATTTTACTATGTTCCAGACTTTCCTTAGGAAACAGTCCACATGGAAGGCTGGAAGGCTGCCATGCAATGAGTGAAATGTCAGGCATGAGACACCAACGTAAGGGTCAGAGCCAGCTGGGGAATGTGGAGAATGTAAGATGGTCCATGGGTCCCAGGGGCAAAGGTGGGGAGAGAAAGAAAGGTGGAGCCTGTTCTCAGAGCTGTGGATGGCCGCTGTAGACCTTAGGGTAACTGAGGCAGGGGTGAGAGAAGAAATGGAAAATGGAGTTCAGATCATAGTAAGGAACACTTTAAATGCTAGACCAAGACACAGAATTTTGGACATATTCTTGTTTCTAAACATTGGCTAATCTGAGCTTAATGACTTATTATTTTTTTTTGTAGGAGGGTGTTCAAATCACACCCCACAAGCCACATGAGTAATTACAAACATTTATAAAACTTTTTCTCCTTTTTGTTTTTTCTTACATTGCTGGGATGGACCGAGGCACACACATGTTAGGTCAGTGCTCTACCACTGAGCTTCACTCCCATTGCACGTTTTAATTCTAATGGCAGATTACTGTTGAACTCATGTGGGATGTCAAAATCTTCTATGGACTGCATATTTAATCATAAAACTAGACCTCAAAACAGGGGCAGCTTCTGGCTCTACTAGTCCAGCTAAAAACATCTTCCAAGAGGAAGAGTGGAAACTAGAAACCATGTAATAAAGACAGAAGAGGAAGGACTGAAGGACAAAGTTTACCTGTTATCTGTCAGACCAAGAGCTCAAAGCCCTCATTATCTCCAGAACAGTTGATCCTGGAGATCAGTGTTGTCCTGAAGTTGTATGGAGGGTTACTCTTGGCTGGCTAGAAGCAAATAGTGTTTTGCCATTGGTCTATAATCCTTTCATTTTAACTTTTTCCATCTCTTAGTGTTTAAGAGCCTCTCTCAGGGCATGGCATCTTTGAATATGCCCCTCAAGCTCCAAGCTGCTTATTATCAGAAGAAGCACCTCTAATAGAAGGCAAAATAAGGAAGATTAGTAACATTGAAGAAAAGATTTGTCTGTCGGACACACACATGTAACCCAGTGACTTGGGAGGCTGAGGCAGGAGGATTACAATGTGATGTCAGCCTCAGCAGTTTAGTAAGACCCTGTCTCAATACTAAAAAAATAAAAAGTGCTCAGTGGTACAGTGCCTCTAGGTTCAGTATGAGTAACACACTTTGTGTGTGTGTGTGTGCGTGTGCAAGCGTGTGCATATTGTTTCACTTGGGCTTTTATTCCACACAAGTATTGCATCATGGTAATAGATTTGAATAAACTTGTGGGTTTTTTTTTCCTTTTAAAAATTTTATTTATTTATTTATATACGGTGCTGAGAATCGAACCCAGTGCCTCACACATGCTGGGCAAGTACTCTACCACTGAGCTCCAGCTCCAGCCCATGTGTTTGTTTTTATTGTGAGAAAGTATACATAACATAAAACTTACTGGTTACCACTGATCAGTGTACAATTCAGGGGTCTTGAGTATGTTTATGATATTGCACAATCATCGCCATACCCTTTTCCAGAACTTTTTCATCATCCTAAACAGAAACTTGGTACCCATTAAAACGACTCATTATCCCCATCCTCATCACCCCACCCTCCCCAGTAATCTTTGTTTTACTTTGTCTCTCTGACTTTTGTCTATTCTGGTTTCCTCATTTAAGTGGAAACACAAACATTTGTCCTTTTGCAGAAAAGGGATGTTAAAGTCAGGCTGATAGGAGGCAAAGAAACAGACAAGCCAAACACAGCTTCCCTCCTCTGGTTCTTTTCCTCACTGATGCATGACATCTTGGCCTCCTTTCCATGCAGGACCATTGTGCCTTCTTCCCGGGACGTCTGTGTTTGAAGACACCATTAGGCTCCTTCTGGTAGCTTATTGTGCTGTTGGTTTCAACTCATTTCCTTCCTGTTTTCTACAGACTAATTTCCCCATTGCTGACTCTGTCAGCTGAGTTCAAACCCAGGGTCAAAGCTCTGCTCACAGCACAAATGGTTTCTTGTGAGGCCTGCCTGGATGCAGGGGGTGGGGGCAGCTGCCAGGCTTTCCGTCTTCTATGAGGTTGTCCTGGCCACAACGGAACTTTGTGTGTTTCTAACTGGTGTTGGGCATGAGCCCAGCTAGGCTAGCTAACATGGTGAGTGGTCCCTGGCACTCTTAGGGCTTTCAGGCTCAAGGTCTTGGAGGGCACTATGACCTTGAAGTTGACTTTCCCCATGAGAACTGCCCCTCTCCCCCAAATAACCCAACATTACCTGTGCTTCTCCTGGTGGTGCTCAGTTTGTAATTTTCAGTGACTTTTTGAGAATAAACCAGTCATTAGGTAGTCTTGGAAAGCCCACCCCTCATCTTTTAAGTATTTGAGAAATACTACTTTGAGATCCCAGATGGGACAATACAAGCAGATTTCTAGTGAGTATTCCTAACTTTACAAATCTATTTTTGAACTTTCCATCTTAGTCCTAGAGTACTCTTTCAGAATTTGGACCTCCTTTGTGATTAGATGGTGATTATATAGACTCAAATTTATTAGGATGACTACATATTAGCACACAGGCCAACCTTGCAGCAATTTTGGTAAAAGTGATTTCAAAGTGGCACCAGAGGGGACTGACCAAATCCTACCATTTTGATCCAAAATTTCCTAGTCACCCTACAAGAATGCCTTTCTTCTTCTTTCTTTTTTAAAATAATAATAATAGCTGAGCATGGTAGCACATGCTTCTGATCCTAGTACCTTGGGAGGCTGAGGCAGGAGGATCAAAAGTTTGAAGCCAGCTTCAGCAACTTAGAGAGGCCCTGAACAATATTGAGACCCTGTTTCAAAATAAAAAATGAAAAAGGCTGGGGATGTGGCTTCGTGGTTAAGCACCTTTAGTATCAATCTCTGGTTCCAAAATCATAATCATAATAATATAATTAATAATAATTATTATTAATAATAATACTTTAACACTAAGATACATCCCCATCCCTTTTAATGTTTTATTTTGAAACAAGGTCTCACTAAGTTGCTGAGGCTGGCCTCAAAAACTTGAGATCCTCCTGCCTTAGCTTCCCTAGTTGATGGGATTATAAACATGTGTCACTGTTCTTGGCAATTGATATTATTATTATTATCATCTGTGTGGGGCTAGAGATTGAGCCCAGGGCTTGCTAGGCTTGTTCTATATATTGTGCTATATTTCCAAGCCCTAGAATGCTTTTCTTGACTAGGACTATGTCTCTTCTACTACCTAGTACAGTCCCATTGGGGACTGGGATTGAACTCAGGGCCTATGCATGCTTAGCATGCACTCCACCATGATGTATGCCCCCAGCCCCCAGCACATTTGTTTTTGTTTTGACAAGTAGACTCACTGGTTACCTTTGGCTACATTTGTTTTTATTTTGAGATTCTTTCTCCTTATTACTCTTTCCTTTTAAATATTCCTTAAACAAGCTCCTGCTTAGCCTCTTTATCTCATTGCTTCTCTGCTCTTGTGGTGGTGTGGGCTTTAGTGTCAGACATCTCTGCCTTCAAAGCCTGACTGTGCTACCTACTAGCTGAGTGACCTTGGGCAGGTTACTTAGCCTCTAAGCCACAGATCCTTCATTTGTGAAATGGAAGCCATGGTTTGTTAGTGTCTGGAGTATTTACAGTGGTAGAGCACTTTCTCCTGCTTAAAAGCTCTTCTCAGGTGGCAGTCAGGGGATATGCATTCCTGGTGGAGAACCCCCTAAATTCAGAATTCTTTCAGGTCTCAGCCTGTCTAGGCCCCCAAAAGACTGCCCACAATGGAAGGGGAAGGCCGTGATTGGCAGCTAGTATTCACCCGACTTTGTCATAGTGACTTCTAACTTCTGAGAAGGCAGCGACTAGTAAGACTCCTTAATCACTCCGTGCCAGGATATGCCAGGGAGTGGACAAGAACAATGCTCAAAATACCAGGGTTTTGGTTTCGTTATCTGGAAACGAGAAAGGGCAGAGATAAGGAACCAGGGAGAGTGTCACAGAGTTTGGTTTTACCAAGCAAGCAGAAGGGGCTCTTCTAAGAGAGCCAGGGCCAGTTAGGCTTGCAGGTGGCTCTGAGATCCTTTCCTTAGAGGAGTTAGGGGACCTGGACAGCGCGCTAAGCCTCCTAGAGGCGGAGGGACGCCTTGCGCGCAGTCCTACTAACAGGCAGGGTTGTTTCTGTTTTCAAAAACTTTCTGTATGCGCTGGCAGCTTCTTTCAGTTCCATCAAGATCGCTGAGCTCCCTAGGGCGCTACTGTGACGGTATTCCAAACTCTCGCTGCAAGAGGGCAAGATGACGATTAGGTTGGACAGATGCTGACGACCAAGTTCTCGGTCGGGCTTCGGGCGGAGAAGCCAGATGAGGTCTGAATGCTGCAGCTCCATGTTCCGGGTGAGTCGCCGGTGTCCGGGGGCCCTCTGATTTCATTACAAACGACTCGTTCTTCATTTCAAACATTTGAACCGAAAGCTAAATTCTGCGGTTTGCAGCATCTGGGCTGGAAACTCATTTCTGCCGGACCCCCTATTTCGACCCCTGAAGGCGCAGCTGCGTCTGGTCCCGCAGGAGGGCAGAGCGTGATTTCCGGGGGGAGGACGGGAAGAGGGGCGCACAGGTGCTTCCTGCGGCCCCGCGGCGTAGCGCGTGGCTGGGGGCGCGCGGCGCGGGGGTGGGGGCGCTGGGAGCCCACGTGCCCTCCGGCTTGGCCGCACCTCCCTGCGTGCAGCAGGCTCCGCGGCGGCTCTTCGCTTCCCTGGGATTGCTGCGGCAGCCCCGAAGGAGACACGAAGGTGGCGGGGAGCGAGGCGGCGTCCCGGCGTCGCTCCGTCTCCCTGCCGCCCTGGGCGACGCTGTGACCGCTGAAGGATGTCAGGAGCCGAGCCAGCGAGGACCTGACGCGCAGCGCTCAGCTGGCGCAGCTGTCCGGGGCCGGGGTGAGGCGAGCCGAGCAGGGATGCTTGGCAGGAGGGGATGGAGAGGCCGCGGAGGAGGTGGGGGCGGGAGGGGCGCCCGCGAGCCTTGTGCTGAGCCGAGACCTGGGAATTCAGGGTGGGCCGGGGCAGCGGCGGGGGCCCTTTGGAAGGGGACCCTCGCTGAGAGGCAGATTTTTGCGGCGATGACTTTGCGAAGCGAGGGCGACCCTGTGCGTGGCTTGGGTCGGGAGAGGGCAGCAGTAGGAGTCCAGCCTCAGGATTCCTTTTGGCTGGGAGACTCAGTGAGTGCGAAGCCCGCGCCCTGCCTGGTCCCGGGCGCTGTCCTCCCGGCGCCGTGGATTTTCTCGGCTTCCCCAGGAGACAGTCAAAGGCCTGCGGACGACCCCCAGTCCACTCTCAAATCCCTGGATAGGCGATGGCAGCAAGATATTCTGTGACTTAACCCCGAGCTAGGTTAGAGTATGAAGACTGGCATATTGTTGGGTCAGACAGCCCCACGTGAAACCCACCTGCTGAGATTGCAGCCTGGAAAGTGGAACTGCTGTTTTTACCCCCACCCCTGGGGGAGGGTTCGCTGTGAATTCCATCAGCTTGTATGAAGTACAGAACCTTCAGAGGAGGGGTTATTTTGCCCTAAATTCGAACTAAGAGCTAAAGGAAAGAGTATACTCAGGCAGCTTGTACTGTGTTATTTACAATGGAATTTGGAAGGATGTCTGAATTGAGATGTAGTGGGAAGAGCCAAGGACTGATAATTGGCCAATTTGGGTTCCTTACACCCAGTTCTAAAGCCTGATAGCCTTGAGGTCTTGACATGTCAAGAAATGTCCTAGAAATAAAGCCTGATAGCCTTGAGGTCTTGACATGTCAAGAATATGTCCTAGAAATTTAGTTCCCTGCCTGAGGTGAGGGAGGATCCTCCTGCTCTGCCTTACTGGGGAGTTGAAAGATAAATAGACTAGAGGGAGAGAGATTATTTGAAAGTATGAAGTGTGGTCTCTACAAGTGAGGGCATCACCACATTCTGCCCACATCCCTCTCCTCCAGGCTTCCAACACAACTTTGTCTTGAGAAAGGTTAAAGGCAATGACTTCATGGTAACACTGGGGTTTTCATAATTACTGAAGTGTGAGAGAGCATGTTTCTCCATGGCTTCAAGTTCAAGTATGAAAATACTTCCACCTGAAACTGCTCATCACAGTGTGACATCAGAAGACAGGAACTTTGCTTTTTTCATCAACTTCCTTAGGAACTGTACCAAGTAGGTGAGATGTTAGGATCCTTGCTGAAAATTAAGGGTCCGACCCTGATGTTTAAATATGATTAGATATAGTCTTCAGGTAACAATTAAACTCTGAACATGTTGGCTTTCTGAGCTCTTGTTTTCTGACACAGGGAAAATTCTATCAAAGGCGAGGAGAAACATTCAAGGATAAGCAATTTCATTAGTCTTTAGGAGAAGATAAGAGAAGAGCTAAGAAAAGAATGAACACATTGCTGAGACGCACCCTACAATCCCCCACGCCTCACCCCAAAATTGGAAGGTGCTCAGATAATAGCCCTGACAAATTTGAATAGTTTCCTTTGTTACTAAATCTAGATTAATTTTTCTAAATGAAGAGATCCACATGGTTGGTTGTGTTATTATTAAAATTTAAGCTTTTCTTCCTAAGTATGTGTGTTCTGCCTTCCAGAGATAATAAATTTAAGCAATCCTAGTGCCTCTAAGTTTTATTGTACTTTTTCATGGTACCTAATCAGATCTTTGATTTTTCTATTGTAATTTAAAAGAGTTAAAAGATGACTCATTCAAGAGGTTGAGAAATAAAACTAGGCCTCCTTAGTTGTGCTCTTACACTAAACTTGTATGTAAGTCTTTATGCAATAATAATGCTGGTGATATTAAAGTTAACTTTTACAGACCATTGTGTACCAGACTGAGATACGCATGCTACAGTTCATTTGGTTCTCACAATAATTTTATAACATTTACAGCACAGAGAGGTTAAGTGCTTAAGGTCACATAGCTAATGAATGATTTATCTAGATTGTCATAAAACTATTTTTATTATTTTTTGTGTGTCTGGAGCTCAAACCCAGGGTCTTGTGCATGCCAGGCAAGCACTGTACCACTAAGATACACCCCTAGCTCTTGGCCCTTGACATAAAATTATGAATTGGATTGGGATTAGTGTTTGTGTGTGTGTGGGCGTGCGCATGTGTTCTAATTTCCACACTGGGTTTTATTCCACACAGAGAGGTGTATTTAAGATGTGACCAGGGGCTCTGGAGCAAGGGCACCCTGAGCAGTCCATTGAGTGACCATAATTGTCACTTTTTCTGGGTCTCCATTTTCTTATCTACAAAATAGTGGTAATAGTCTCATAATGAATGCATGCTTTATTTCTACTGAAATACGAAGTATGAACTGAGAAGAAAAGTTCTCAGAATGTAAAACAAAGTTTTGGAATTCAAGTGGTCTAGTCACCTGTATCCTGAAGCTGGAAAATGGCAAATAAAAGCTGACAAGCTATACACTTAATATGATTTATTTAACACTTAGGTTGAAAATCGCCTTTTTAAAAACAATGCTTGAACTCTGGTATCGGATCCTTAGTTTGACACTTATTAAAAGAGAATTCTCTAAGTTAGATCTCTTTGTTTTGTTTTGGCAGTAATATTGAAAAGCATGCCTGGTTGATAGGTGCTTTTCTTTAGTTTATGTTTTGTGATGAAAATTGGAAGGTGGAGATATTTTTTTCTCCTTATGCTTTTTCACTTTTTTAAAAAATTCTAACAAGTTCCACTGGACCTGAAAACCGAGTTCTGAAAATATATGCAGGGGTACTTCCTTATTCTCTTTATTTAGAATTTACTTGTTACAAGACAGCTTTTGAGATGGCTGCTTTAAATTTGGTAAGGAGACTTGAACTTTTATATTATTTAAAGACTATTTTAAAATATGGTTCACTTATCAAGTCATTTGAATTAACCTATTACCTATACAAAAATCTGGGTGGGGGTGGGATTTCACTCTTAAACTTTTGATTTTGTGGACATTCAGGCTCAGGGAAGTAAGTCATTGTTAATGTCATACATTCAAGGAATCCTCCTCATGCTTGGTGAGTACTGGTATTTTGGAGAGATGTTTGGATCATGAGATTTAAAGGTCTTCCCTTCACCCCTCTGCCTGAGGAATTGAAGCTAAATGAGCTTAGTTTGGCCCTTCTGGGTCTTGCTCATTTGAAAACAGTCTCTCAAGTAGATTGGTTATGTGCCTTAGTACCAAGGACCAATTTGTTATTATCTTCAAATATCTTCTCTTCTGTGAGAACAAAGACGAGTTTTCTTACTGTTTTTCCAAACAATGCCCCTTGGACTTGTGGGCTTTGCTCACATATCAACTGTTTCTTAATCAAGATGCTTTTAATAGTCTTTACCTTATCCTCATCCTCCGGTTCCCCTTTGAAGATTGCTTTTAGAAACCAAAAGAGTTCATTTTTTTGTTGAGGGCTGGGGCTTGGTTGGTACTAATTTGAAACATTTTGAAGGGTTCTGACCTAATCAAGGGATAAGTAAATGTGTTAGAGTGTGTGTGTGGAAAATTTAGAACAGTGCCTGGCACAAAGTAAATGTCACAGAAATGTTAGTTTTAAACGGACGAGGAGGAAGTGTGGGAAGATGAGTGCTGTAGAGAAAAATAGGGCAGTAAATGGGTTTAGCATATACCTGTAAGGATGTAGTTTTGAAAAGCATAATGGGAAAATCTCAATCTGCAGATAGCATTTGAATAAAGACCCAGCAGTGAGTAGGAACAGAGAGGTACAATGGTATCCAGGTAGAAGGAGGTCAGAGGGGTCACATTGGGGCACATGGACACATGTAGCAAGTGTTACAAGTTTTAAATAACTTACTTTTGGAATTTTCTTATGGAAAATTTCAAACTCTCTCCCTTCTCCCAACTTCAACAATTATCAACATGGCCAATTGTGTAACATTCACATCTCATTCCTTACTGGCATTGTTTTATAGGATATTCAAGAAATTCTGCCAACTACTTCTAAATTGTTCTGCATATATTTCTAAAAAACAGGCATTTTTCAATACATAAACACAACACTTAACGTCTTTGGCCTTGTTTCCCATCTGAAAGTCAGACCATAGAGCTTCCCCTATGGTGGTGGTGGTTGTAGCTTGTAGCCATTGCACTGATGATGTTGTCTTTACCAACTGTTGATGTGCTTTTCTTTTTCTAGATAGTTCGGTGGAAGTTTCACTTTTACTTCCTCTCTCCTCTCCATACCAATTTTAGACCTTTATTTAGCTTTCCCTTTTAAGTACTCTCCCCTCCTCTTAGTATTTTTGTTCATAGTCCAGTTTGTACCTGGTGCTTCTTTGCCTCATGTAGCCCCTGGAACACCAGCTCCCTCTAGATTCCCTAGGTCTTTTTGAAGAGAG